GTTTAAGAACATTTACTAATGTTCTTTTTTTATTTTTTTATTATAGGGAATACTTCCTGAAGTGTTCTATATAAAAATATTTATTATAATTCCTTTTTTTTGTAGGAATGCTGTTTAACAATAACTGACTATATAATAAATAAATTATTAATGATATATTAATTTAACTAGGAGTGTACTTACCCATATGATAAATATAAATTAATAACAATTCACATCAAATACTAATACAACCGAATTAATGTAAATTAATGTAATTCTGCCTAAATATTAAATAAAATAGCCAGAATTATTAATCCTGATACAATACTGATACAATCCTGATCCATAATTTAAATATAAAACACAGGGGTGATATTTAATGTCATAATGCATCAATATTTATTAATAATTACATTTAATTATAAACTATAGAAATTCTTCGTTATAACTGAAAAAAATTCGTTATAAAAAAAATCTGTTATACCGAGAGGCATTTTTATATAAGAAATTCACACACTTTACTTCGTACTATGTTATACGGTAAATAAATAGTAAACTTCATTATATCAAGGTTTTTTTCATATTTAAAATTGGTACCACACTGTATGATCCGTTATATCGTGTTATTTGCTATATCAAGGTTCGCTGTAGAGAGGGGTGACTGTATTAAATATTATATCTTATCATGTGACTCACAATCATATGACCTTCCTACTTATCTATTTCATATGCTCAAATCTGCTATCTTTGGTTCAGATCATGTAGAAGTGGAAAATTTTTATGGTGATACTGGAAAAGATATAGTTAGTATCAGTGTCACAGGATTATAATTAATCAATAGTATTAATGTAACTAATTTAATTATTTTATTTAACTTTATGTAATTTTATACAACTAAAAAATTGTGTACATTTTTAATTTTTGAAAATACTCTAGTCAAATAAATAATAATGGATAAAATGAGTGATAATAAATAAGAAAAAACAATAAGAACAAAAAGAGTAATATGAAATAATAGTATAAAATGATAATGGAAAAAGAACAATAGAAGATGAAATAATAATAATAAAACAGTATGGGATAAAATGATGATAAAAAGCAGTATAGAATGAAATTGTGATATATAGGATAAAATGGTAATAGAAAAAATAATGTAGGACGAAATAATATAAAAAAATAATATAGAATGAAATAATGGTAATAAAGGAAATAATATCCCTATAAAAAGTATTTATATTTAAAATATAATTAAAAACTTTTTAAAATATATTTAAAATATATTTAAAATATATTTAATTTAAAAATTGCAAAATACTTATAGTACATCACTGGTCGAAATAGTCCAAATCAGCTAGAAATCGGATGTCCGATTTTAGGCTGAATTTGGTGATAAAGATGGCCGAATTATCAATCCAAAAAAAGTTCCGATTGGCAGGCCGATCGATGCCGATCAGAATGTCCGAATTGTATCTGGATTGCTTAGTATTTTTAATCTGAATTGTTTAAAAAATATATTCATAAATTTACCGAATTGCAGTGAATTTATTCTGAATTATGATAAATTTTGATAAATTGAGATAAATTTTAATCTGAATTGCAGTAAATTTTAATCTGAATTACAGTAAATTTTAATCTGAATTACAGTAAATTTTAATCTGAATTGTGGTAAATTTTATTCTGAATTGCGTTTGAATTGCAGTTAATTTTATTCTGAATTGCATCTGAATTGCAGTAAATTTTATTCTGAATTGTATCGCAAATTACAGTAAATTTTATTCTGAAATTTAAAATATTACATATACATATAAAACAATTTCGCCCAAAAATCAATATTCCAGTTGCCTGAAAACTTGAAAGGTGAAGTAGCCGTTTAAAATCACCTTACTGAATTTCCATGCATCTAAAAGACCCCAGAATAACGTTAATAATGTTTAATTGCGTAAATAATAAAATACTTTTTTATAAAAGTTTTGAATTTTTTGTTTCGAAACTAACCTGGGATTCCGGTATATGTTAAATTCCTTAATTCCCAGAAAATCAAAACGTTACCTGTAGGATGGCAAATTGGAGCCGATTTCCCTACAAAAAAAATAATAAAAATAATAAAAAAACGTTAAATTAAACATTTTTTATTAAGTTTCGTCAAAAAGTTTCAAAAATAGAAACTTTACTTGCGGGATTTCGGTATCCAAATTGGAGCCGGTTTCCCTGCAAAAAAAATCAATGAAATATAATAAAAAAACGTTAATGTTTTTATTAAGTTTCGTCAAAAAGTTTCAAAAATCGAAACTTTACTTGCAGAATTCCGGTATCCAAATTGGAGCCGATTTCCCTACAAAAAAAAAAATAAAAAATAATTAAAAAACGTTAAAATAAACGTTTTTTTATTAAGTTTCGAAAATACGAAACTTTACCTGTAGATTTGGCCAAATCGGAGCCCCGCACTTTGGTGTTCTGGACCTACAAAATTAAGAACGAACGTTAGTTAACGTTTGTTAAAATAAAATAAAAAAAAAAATTTTTTTTTCGAAGTTTCACCTTCAAAATGCCGCCTGGGAAGCCAAAAATCTAAAAAAAAAAAGAAAACCGAAACGTTAGTCAACGTTTCGTTCAAATAAAAAAAGAATAAAAAATCGGAATTTCGAAGAGGTACCTTCGAAATTCCATCCAGTCATACGGAAACCGAAGAGCCAAAACCTAAAAAAAAAGAAAATCGAAACGTTAGTAACGTTTCGCTGAAATAAATTTTTTTTTTCCCTAAATTTAAAGAAAGTTAAAGAATTGAAATCTCCTTCTTTCTTACATCATGTCAAATATAACAGAAATTTTAACACTTCTAACAGAATTAATAGAAGTTTCGCACCTTGATACTCCTCGATTATTAAATTGTCTTTGTCAAAATAGAAAATTTTTTTCTTTGGCGGTTCCATTAATTTGGGAAAATTTGGGTGATCGTTATTGGGTGCTGGACCAAAAACTCCATTGCGCTGGCTTTTTTTTTATCCTTTCTTTCTTTTTCCTTTTCAGTTTCTTTTTTCAACCCGATTTTTCTCTTTATCCCTCTCCCAAATTTTTTTTTTCGTCTTTATTTTTTCGATCGAAGGTTTATACCTTCAAAATGGAATCCAGCGGCGTCCTGGACCTAATAAAAAAAAAGAAAACAATGTTAGTTTATACCTAACGTTCCGCATTAAATAAAAATAAAAAAATTCTTCGGGGCATTACCTTCCTTTCAAGGTTCCTAAAAGTGAAAAGCGTCTTGAGGGTCTACAATAAAAAAAAGAAAGTGGAACGTTAATAAATGTATATTAACGCTCCAATTTAAAAAAAACAATCCCTTCTCCTCTCTAAATACCTTCTAAGTGCCGTTCCGTTAGTTCTGAGGTTGCCCTAAATGAATTTTTCCGCCGTCCGCATGAGGATCGGAATGTAAAATGGTGTCCGGAAGGTTAAAAAAAAAAAATTTTTTTATAAAAAAAAAGATGGATATCCGATGATCCATCTGATCAACAAAAAAAGAGCCATTTTCGGAAATACCGGCATATCGATCTACCGTTAAAAAATTAGGCTTTTTTTTGCATTTATTATAATATTTTGCAGAAAAAACGTTCCGGTATTTTGCCGATTGTTCAAATTGCTTGTTCATACTTGCAATTACAGCAATTTCCTTTTTCATTTTGAATAATTTTTTCCAAACCTCCACCATTTGATTTAGCTGATTTGATCATTAAATTGGAATGCCAGAAATACAAAAAAAATTATTAATACCGGCATACCGATATCCATCTATAAATAATCGTTAAATCGGAACATTGGAACCTGCAAATGATAAAAAAAGATATTTTTTTTGATACCAGCATACCCGATATCATATACAAATAAAGAATATTTTCATTAAATCGGAATGCCGGAACCTGCAAATAATATTAAAAATAATAAAAAAAAATATATTTTTATTATTTCATTTCATTACAGTAAATCGGAATGCTGGAATAAAAAAAATTTTTTTTCTTCAATACTGGCATACTGATATTTATTAAATCGGAAAAAATTGAGATTCTTTTATCAATTCCCAATTTGAACCATAGAGCAATAAAAGAGAAATATTTTGTTTTGAGGAAAAAAAAAGGTTAAAAGGTTGTAATCTTAAATTAATCTTAAAGCTAAAATTATACTAATTATACTTTTAATACAATACGCGT